CACCAGATGGCCCATTTCTCATTTGGGCATGTTTAGACTTGTCAAGGTTTGTCTTGGTTTTGTCCCTACATTCATGGTCACCTTGCCCTAGGAGGAACTGGTTATTTTTTGTTTTGGCTGTTTTCAGCAAATTGTTGGTGGTCTGGGGGGTTCTGCTGAGGTATTTTGATTTTTGTCCTCACATTATACACATCAGATACTGTCAAACTTGAGAAATTGAACCTGACATGGTGGTATACATCTGTAGTCCTATTGTTGGGAGCCGACTCTGAGCAGAAAGTGGCTATCATCTTTGCAGCCATCTTGAGCCATATACCCTGACAAGAGACTTGTTTTCAACAGCCTACAACAGCTGAGCACACTCTGATAATTATCTTGATATACCCATGATTTGCTTTCAATCAAGGCCAGGCAGTGGTGGCACACGCCTTTAATCCCAGCACTTGAGAGACTCAAGGCAAGACTCAGGCGAGACTTGAGGAGAGACTTGAGAAGAGATCAGACCAGACTCTGTCTTGTCTCCATTCTTCGCGTCTCCGTCCCCACTCTCTCTCTTGCTAGGCCCTGACCCACGGACCGGAGCAGCAGAATGGGCTGTTACATCCTATCACTTGGGAGGTAGAGGCAGGACAATTAGGAGAAGTTCAAGGTCATGACTATTTACAAACTGGAGGCCTACTTTAGGCACAAGAGACTTTCCAAGAAAAAAAATTGGGAACCAAGTTAAGAGTAGCTATCTTTGTCTTTATAAAGCATATAATGCCTTTTACAACGTATTGGTGAGAATGCAGCCGTATGTATATAAAAACACAGGAGCATGGCTGTGTACCACTGCAGTTTTATGAACAATCCTACATAATTATTTTTGCTGATGACACTGGCCTCATATATCGATCTCATAAAAGCATCATGAGGTAGATATTAAACAAACTAAAAAAAGCTAATTGCCCAATGTTATAGACTTATGATGACCAGTATTTAGACGGCCTAGAGCAAAGCCTGAGATCTTTATTTTTTAAGACTTATTTGTTCATTTTATGTATGTGAGCTGTGTTCAGACACAACAGAAGAGGGCATCCAGTCCCATTACAGATGGTTGTGAACCACCACATGGTTGTTGGGAATTGAACTTAGGACCTCTGTAAGAGCATTAAGTCAGTGCTCTTAACTGCTGAGCCGTCTCTCCAGCCCCAAGCCTGAAATCTTAACCTACTTGATAGAAGAAGAAGAAGAAGAAGAAGAAGAAGAAGAAGAAGAAGAAGAAGAAGAAAGAGAGAGAGAGAGAGAGAGAGAATATGAAATTCCTGAGGTTGTGTCCCTTTATAAAAAAAATAAGCTTATTTCGTTTACAATTTTGGAGGTTTTAAGGGTCCACATTCTGGTTAAATGTTATAAGGCTGTGCAGGACATTACATGGCAGAAGATGGAGAATGAACAGTATATACATGAGTGTGTCCTTCTGTCCAATGTTTTCTCTTGCCCCTCCTATAATAACCTTTTCTGTACCCTTCCTTTCCTTGAGTCTGTCCTTTTGTCCAGTGTTTTTCCTTGCTCCTCCTATAGCCCTTTCCGTTCCCGTCCTTTCCTTGTAAAGCCATGAGTTCTCAGCTATGGGGGCTCCACCTTTATGAAGTTACCTAATTTGGTAACTCTAAAAGACCTCGTGTCAAAATACCATACCGGGATTAAAGTTTCACCCTCTTAATCTTTCACAGTGGGGGTTAAAAATAACATGTGAACCTTTGGGGACTGCACTCAAGCCTTATCCTAACCATAGTGCTAAGTATTGACAGCTCAGACTGTAAATGGCAGGGCTAAGGATGTCAATATATCATAGAACATTTGCCTGATGTGCCCAAGGACTGTATTCAGTCCCTAGCATGACAGAAATTATAATGGGCTCATTTTAGTTTTAGCGCTTAATTTCTTATCATTAATGGGGATACACTTCAGTTTTCTGTAGGAACTGTATCGAATATTTATATCAACTGACATTTGTATATGTCAGTTTTTAGCCTGCTAAATTAAATAAAGTGTAAACTAGATAATGTCTTTGGATTTCCAGATAGTTTTATATAATTTTGCTATTTCAGGATGATGATGCAACTCAAGTGGTTGTCCCTGCCGCATCAAATTTGGATGATTTCTATGCAGCAGCAGAAGATACCAAACAAAATTCCAATAATACAAGAGAAAATTCTAATAAAATAGATACTGGAGTAAATGAAAAAACAAGGTATGGTAAGCTTTTACTTTCATAATAAAAACTCAAGAGGCAGTTATTTAGCTCTCTGCTTACTGTGTTGTCTTTTGCTTAGTATCCTTATTTTATTGGAGTCTACAAATATGTCAATTTAATTATAGAGAGAAATTTTATGAGGCTAAACTACAGCAGCAACAGAGAGAACTTAAACAATTGCAGGAGGAAAGAAAAAAATTGATAGAAATTCAAGAGAAAATTCAAGCAGTGCAAAAGGCATGCCCGGACCTTCAGGTAACTATAAAATTTATTTCTTTAAGTGTTTTGAAAATGTTTAAAAACTAATGTCAGTTTGAATTAGTCTGTCTTTGCTGGTACTGAGGTGACAGATTATATTTGCCAATTTTCTTAATTACTGAAATGAATTAACTAATACTGAAATAAATTTGGTTTTTTTTCTTTGAAAAATAGTACATAGGAATTAAGTTACTTGTATTTTTGTATTGGGCTAGTTACCCATTTATTCATGACATGTAAACTCAAAACTGTTATCACATTAAGATATTCTGGCTTACATTTAGCAGATATAGATCAACATTCCATTTTTATTGACCTAGGATTACACAGTAAAACTTTTAAACCATCATGAGTTATTTTTATTCCATTATTTATTCACTTTACATTCTGATCACAGTCCCCCTCCCTCCTCTCCTCCCAGTTCCACCCTCCCAGTTCTAGTCCCTCCTCTCATTGTCCCCTCCCCTTCAACTCAGAGAACAGGAAGCTCCCCTTGGGTACTACCCCCACCCTATAACATTCAGTTGCAGCAGGACTAAGCACAACCTTTCCCACTGAGGACCAATCAGGCAGTCCAGCCTAGGGGAAGGGGATCCAGTCACAGGCAACAGAGCTAGAGACAGCCTCTGTTTCAGTTGTAGGGGACCAAGCAGCACATCTGCCACAGACATGTAGGGGACTTAGGTTGAGCCCCTACATGTTCTTTGGTTGGTGGTTCAGTCACTGTGAACCCCCATGGGCCCAGGTTAGTTGACTCTGTAGGTCTTCTTGTGTCCTTGACCCCTCCAGCCCACTCAGTTCTATCCCAAATGCTTCCACAAGACTCCCCAAGCTCCTCCTGATGTTTGGCTGTGGGTCTCTGCATCTGCTAGACGAAGCCTCTCAGGAGTCAGTTATGTTAGGTTCCTGTCTTCAGGAATAGCTTAGTATCATTAATAGTGTCAGAGTTTGGGTCTCTCTTACATGGGGCCAGTTTCATGTTGGGCCAGTCATTGGTTGGCCATTCCCTTAATCTCTGTTCCATCTTTATCCCTGTGCATCTTGTAGGCAGGACAAATTTGGGATTAGGTTTTGTGATTGGGTTGATGTCCCTCTCCATTGGAAGTCTAGCCTGGCTGTAAGAGGTGGCCACTTCAGTCTCCGTATCTTCTGGTGGGAGTCTCAGCTAGGGTCATCCCTGTAGCTTCTCCCCCCCTTCCCCAACTCCCAGCCCCAGGTCTCCAGCTATTCACTAGATATGCCCCCACTGATTTCGGTTCTCACTCACAGCCCTCTCCAGCCTTCTTTCTCTCCACACTTGACCTCCATCTCCATTCACCTCATCCCCTCACTCACCCAGATCCCTCCCTCCATGAGTTATTTAAAGAAAATAATTGTATATAGCTTTAATTTTAACTTCTATGCTTTTGCTTAGTATATAGTACTCTGTAATATAAGTTTTTCTGGTGGAGCAGAGAATAAGATAATTTTTTCCATGTTAGTTATGTTAGAAGTCAGGATGATATATAGAGTATACTCTTTTGAGATCTTCCTAAAATATACTGATTTATTATGTATACCTTTGTGTGTGTGCGTGTGCGCGTGCGCGTGCACGTTTGTCTGCATACATACAAGTCTGTGTGGAGACTAGAGGTTGATGTCAGGTGTCATCTTCTGTCACACTTCAGTCATACTTTTAGACAGAGTCTCTCTCACTGAAGTCGGAGCTTAGTGATCAATGAGTCCCTGGCATCCTCTTGTTTCTGTGCCAGAACTGAGATTATAGGCCCTTGTGGCTATGCCTGGCTTTCTGTGTGAGTCCTGCGGATCTGAATGCAGGCCCTCAAAGCTTGCAAGCCAAGAACTTTACCCACGGAACTATCTCCCCAGTCTGGTTAAGTTTACTGTGTAGTTAAACTTGGTTTTGATGAAAGAGAAAAATACCAAATTATGTTTCTGACACAACTGTTTTCTAAGTTTGTACTTTTCCCATTTTTTTTCTAATACTTTCTTTATCCTCAATATAAATAATTTCCAAAGGAATATGTGCCAGGGTTGGGTTGAATGTAAACTCTCCCTCTTTTCCCAATATTTGATTGATACATTTTTACTGTTCCAATTGTTAATTCTCATCACTTTTAGCCTGTTCTTATGTTTGTTTTCTTCTGTTGTCTATGGATCATGGTGCCTTTTGTAGTCACATAATAGCAAATTAAATATAGCACTTGAGCTCTAGAGAAGTAAAATAACTACGTTATGAAATAAGTTCAATTATATTAGTGCCTTATAGTAGTATTTGTAATATATATAATATATAAATGGTATTTGTTTATATATGTGTATTTGTATAAGTGTGTATGTGTATATAAATATATGTGTATATATGTATGTGTGTATATATGCACACATACATATGCATATACATACTCACACACAATATTTTGTTTTTAGCTATCAGCCACTAGTATAAGTAGTGGTCCCACAAAAAAATATCTACCTGCTATTACTTCAACTCCAACTGTTAATGAGAATGAGAGCAGTCCAAGCAAATGTGTTATTGAGCCTGAAGATTCTTCAGTGGTGGATAATGAGGTATGACACAGTCTGCTGCAGTGTTGTTCCTGAAGTGGTACCTAACTCCTGAGCCTAACTTTTTTTTTTTTTTTTTTTTTTTTTAATGGTGTGGATAGGAATGGGACTTTGGGCCCTTTGACCTACTGAGTAGGTAATATATGTGAAGTTTATTTTCTGTCTTTTTTTTTTGGTTAGGGAATAAACCTTTCCCTCCTAAAGTTATATTGTTTCAAAATAGTCCTTATTAGCAAATATAGGAGCAGTTATAGAAAACATGAATTATTTCATTTAGAAGGGCCCATTCTTTGATATTTCATTTTTATTTGTTTTGCATAATACCATAGCTTTTCTAAAATAATTCACAAAGTATGTTTAGTGCTTTTTGTTTTCATGAACAGTTAATAACTGCCTTTTTTGTATCCCTAAAATATTATCTAACCCTTATGAACATCTTTAAAAGATTTTAACTTTAGTAATTTTAATTGCGTATGTTGTGGTGGAGGCATGTACAAATGAGTGTCGGTGCCCATGGAGGCCAGAAGTGTCAGATATCCCTGGGAGCCAGACCTAGCAGGCAGTCGTGGGCCACCTGATGTGGGTGCTGGGAACTGAACTTGGATCCTTTGCAAGAGCAGCACACACTCTTAGCCATTGAATTCCCTTTATGGATATCTTAGAATGGAAATAGAAACTTTGAAAATAGAATATCTTTGTACTGATAGTATCATTAATACTTTTATTCTTTAAGGCTTAAGCAAATCCAAATATTTACTTGACTCTGGTTTTTAAAATAATAGTTGTGGTCAGACATGCGAAGACATGAAATGTTAAGGGAAGAGCTGCGGCAGAGAAGGAAGCAACTTGAAGCTCTAATGGCTGAACACCAGAGGAGGCAAGGTCTAGCTGAAACCTCATCTCCAGTGGCTATATCATTGAGAAGTGATGGATCTGAGAACCTGTGCACTCCTCAGCAAAGTAGAACAGAAAAGTAAGAAAATCATTTAAAACATCTTTTAAATACCACTTACCCAGAACATTAAGCCAGGCAGACTCATTTTCCTGTACAACCTAGCACAAATCAGCTGTTTCACTGAAGCAAGTATTTTTCAATGTGTGACTAAAAAATAACTCAATTCAGCCATTTTCTATTCTACAGCTTTCCTTTTTTATTTTAGTTACCCTGGTACTTGAACAAATGGCGATACAGATTGTTTGTAAAACTTATTTTTGTTGGAAAGTTTTATACTTACAAAATGAAAAATATATGATTTTTTGTAGTGCTGTGTTATTTTTTTTTTTCAGAACAGAATGCTATATTGTATTATGACAGAGTCTCATGTAATAAAGACTGGCCGTGAATTCCGTATGGAGCTCAGGATGACCTTTTAACTACGATACTCTTACCTCCGACTCCTCAGTGCCCACATTATAGGCATTCTCCACCATGCCCAGTTGAAATACTTTTTATCTTAAATTGTATATCTACCATTTGTAAGGTTCTTGAGGATAATCATAAAGTCTTTTTATATAAAACATTAAGTTTTTAGAAATGAGTTTGAAAGTCCCGTATTTGGAATATTTGTAAAACAATTAGTTATTTGTTAAGATAAGTTAGTTAGCTGTATAGTAATATTTAATCTAAAAATTTGAACTCCAGATATGTTGCAGTCTTATCTTTTCAGATACTTAGATGGCATTTCTAAAATATTATAAATACTCTCTTCCTCTTAGGAGATTTCATAGTCTTGATGTGCGTTTTGCTGAATAAAGTATATTATATCCTGTTCTGTTCTAGCCACTGTGTATCTGCTGTTTCACAGAACTCTTCAGATATTATTGATGAGCATCTGGTTTCAGAATTATTTGTGTAGAGCTAGCTTCTTAACGTATGACCCCCCCCCACCATGGGTTCATGTGACTGAATGTTAACTGAATGGGGCAAAAATTGCTTATTTCCAACATATTACAGCCAAAAATGTAGTCAGAATTAAATGCTAAGCTAATACAAGGTGTTTCTAGTATTGTCAAACTTGTGTTGCATCATGTGCCTTAACTATAGCCTTGGCTCTAAGAAATATACATATGTATTTTGTACTGCCAGTCTACAAGGCTTCCTGACTTGTTTTACTGTACATACTAAATCTTCTGCTCTGAACAGTGTAGTTGTGGAAAACTTGTAGTATTTTCCTGTCATATCTTATCATACCTCATCCTGCTAGTACCAAAATTAGTGTATCTTTAGATTTATTTTTGTCCCAGTGTTTAATTTAAAAAATTATTGATTTGCTGACTCTTTTTTTCCTTTTTGGTTTTTTGAGACAGAGCTTTTCTGTGTAGCCAAAATGCCCACTTTTGATATATATACGTACATACGTACATAAAAAAGATTTTGGCTTGATTAAGGCAGAAGTTCCAATAATTTCCACAATGATTTTAAACATCTTTCTGTAAATTTGTATTACTTACTTGTATAAAGTAGAATTATTTATTTCTACTTTTCAACTATGTGTGTGTATATGTGGGAGTATGTGTATGCCAACACATCTGCCCGTGGAGGCTACAGCCATTGGATCCCTGTGGTACTGTAGTTATAGGTGTTTGTGAGGTTGACTTATGTGGATACTGAAAAGTAAACTCAGACTCCCTAATTTAGCATGGCCAGGTCTAGAGTTGTTTTAATATCACAGCTGGTAAACACAGTGGCCATTTAAAATAAGTTAAAGTTAAAATTTCATTTTCCTCCCAGTCATATCAGCAGCATTTTAAGTGCTCAGTATTCATGTGTCTGTATCTGCTGTGTAGGGCAGCACAGATAGAGATCATTACAACTATTGCACAAAATGTTGTTAGGTAGGACTGAAATAGAGGGCTATCACTTAAGAAATGGCAGGGGGAAGTTTAGTTAAAGAAAAACTTTCCAGCAGATGTAATGATTATCTTAATGTCTTTGAAATGCTATTTTGTGGAAGGCAAACTACACATTCTGTATGATAGCAATGTAAGATAGCGTCTCAGAATTGCTGTGATGAAACGAAATTTTGTATACATGTATGTTTTTATATATATTAAAATCTTAAGCATTATAGCTCTTAACATATCTAGCTAATCTTTATAATGATGCCTGCTTCATCTCTCATTATCCCCAGAACAATGGCAACTTGGGGAGGTTCTACTCAGTGTGCATTAGATGAAGAAGGAGATGAAGATGGTTATCTCTCAGAAGGAATTGTTCGCACAGATGAAGAAGAAGAAGAGGAGCAGGATGCCAGTTCCAATGATAACTTCCCTATGTATCATCCTAGCATGAATCAAAATTCTTACAATGTAAAGGAAACCAAAACCAGGTTAGTTACAGTGTTTAAGTTTTATTTGAGTTTAAGTATCTCAAGTCTTTATGACACCAATAGTTCACACCAATTGACCAAATATCCTAAAATTTAGTTCATAGTGGCATCAGCTTCTCAAAGGTAATGCAGATCTTACAAATTAAAGAACTTAGTCCCACAAGAATATTATTCTTTTTAGTACAAGTCCCCAAATTAACTATATTCTTTTGTGTGTGTGTGTGTGTGTGTGTGTGTGTGTGTGTGTGTGTGTGGCTTTTCGAGACAGGGTTTCTCTGTATAGCCCTAGGTGTCCTGGAACTCACTCTGTAAACCAGGCTGGCCTCAAACTCAGAAATTCACCTGCCTCTGCCTCCCAAGTGCTGGGATTAAAGGCGTGTGCCACCACTGGCTGAACTATATTCTCTTGTCGTGACTAAAATGAGAATTTCTACAATTTGTCTTTAGATTTAATATTTTGCTACAACTTCGAAAAATACTTCACCAAATTGGCTGCTTAAAGTGGAATAGCTATATGAGGCATGTCTGTAATGAATGGAAGTATGTAGAGCTTCATTGCCTTCTTTGAGTTCCACCTTTGAAGTTGATCACCATCCTTGAAATTCTTTGAAGTAATATAAAAGATTTTATGGAAGTTTTATGTAGCTATGATTTACTAAGTAATATGCCATTAATATTCAGATTCAGCCTCTGGTTTCATTTCCTTCCCTAAAGGTCAGTGGGTAGGTCTGGAAATAACAACCAGATTGATTTTTGTGGCAACAATGCCCCTCCTAAAGGGCTAAGAGTTATAAACTCTGGATTTGTTAAAAGGGGCTTGCGCTTGCTCTGCGTAACAAAACAGAATCTGCCACTCAGGAGATTCCAAACATTTTAGGGGTGGAGAGAACCGCTGGGGTTCTTAAATTAGATACCCATTTTTTTTTTTTAAGAATTCAAACATATCTTTATGTGTAGATGCTTGCATATATAAATGACAGATACTTTTCTTTTTTACATAAGGATGTTGCTGTAATAGTTCCCACCTAGACCAGATCAAGAATCATACCTAAGCTTTCATCGTTGCTGTTGTTTAGGGGAATTAAGCAAAAAAAATGAACATTTTTCAGGTAGTGAAATGTTCTGTTAATGAACTGACTATAAGTAGTGTATACTGATAATCTGCTGGTGCTTGAGGTCACTTGAAACCAGAACAGTGTAGTAAGACCTTGTCTAAAACAGAGCAAATCAGAAATAATTGGAAGCAACATTAATTGTGTTGTTTTTAAAATTACATATTTTAAAATTTTGTGTGTGTGTGTGTGTGTTGTGTTGCACAAATGGAGGTTAGAAAAACTTTTCTGGGGTAGGTTCTCTCCTTTTACCCTGGGAATTGAACTCTCGGTTCTCAGGCTTGGTAGCATGTGCAGATCCTGCTCAGCCCTCTCTGAGCTGCATTGTTACTTCTACTAATGATAAGCGTTTATGAATCATTGTGAACCTGGTAAAATTGTGCCACTTGATGAAGTAAAGAATGAAGGATGGAAAAGTGCTCTAGTCTAAAATGTAGCTCTATGTTGTGGAATACAGTTAGACTATAGTGTAAGAATACAAACAAAGACTAGAAAGCAATTAAAGAATAATTGGATGGGCTGAAAATAATGTGATTTTTCTCATCTCTATTTTTCATATTTAATACTGAATAAAGAAATAACTCAGGGCTGGTGAGATGGCTCAGTGGTTAAGAGCACTGACTGCTCTTCCAGAGGTCATGAGTTCAAAATCCCAGCAACCACATGGTGGCTCACAACCATCTGCAATGAGATCTGATGCCCTCTTGTGGGGTGTCTGAAGACAGCTACAGTGTGCTTATAATTAATAAATAAATAAATAAATAAAGTTTAAGGGCTGGAGAGATGGCTCAGCGGTTAAGAGCACTGACTGCTCTTCCAGAGGTCCTGAGTTCAAATCCCAGCAACCACATGGTGGCTCACAACCATCTGTAATGAGATTGGATGCCCTCTTCTGGTGTGTCTGAAGACAGCTACAGTAAACTCATCAATAAAATAAATAAATAAATAAATATTTAAAAAAAAAAAAAAAAAAAAAAAAAAAAAGAAATAACTCTCTGTAGACTACGATTTGAGGTTTGTTGCCATATTTTAGAACTCAAGTTATCTCATATGATAACTTACCACTCTAAATTCTGCATTAGGTGGAAGAACAATCGCCCTGTTTCAGCAGATGGAAATTACCGTCCTTTAGCCAAGACGAGGCAGCAGAATATCAGCATGCAACGACAAGAAAACCTTCGATGGGTGTCAGAGCTCTCTTACATAGAAGAGAAAGAACAGTGGCAAGAACAAATTAATCAGCTAAAGAAACAACTTGATTTCAGTGTCAATATTTGTCAGACTCTGATGCAAGACCAGCAGGTAAATTTTATCTTTGAAATGTATTTTTTGTAATTTACATTGTTTTGAAGCAGTACACAGTTTATTCAACACATTGTAACTATTGTCAACATTCTCTTCCAACAGACTTTATCTTGTTTGCTGCAGACTCTTCTAACAGGTCCGTATAGTGTTCTGCCTAGCAATGTGGCGTCCCCTCAAGTACACCTTATCATGCACCAGCTGAACCAATGCTACACACAGCTAACATGGCAGCAGAATAATGTCCAGAGGTAACCTCTCTGATTAAAAATAGTAATAACTGTATAGTGGGTGCTAAAATGAAAGGAGAGTTTTACAGTTTCCTTCAAGGAAAAAGAGGCATGAGCCAAACTGCAGTCAGTCTACTGACTGAAAATTATAGCCACGATCTGTCACTGTGGGACTTGGCTTTTGTTTATAAAATTCATATTTAATTGTATACTTAATGTTAGATTAAGTGTATAGTATTTAAGTTATACAACAATAAATCAGTGAGCAAGCAAAATTTAGGTTCTTACATTTCTGCCTCTATTAGAACTAAGCTCAATACTTGTTCCAACAGCTAAGTTATTAAATCGAGGCAAGCTAAGTTATTGAATTGGATCAGCAGAGCAAGCAAATACTTGTTGTAGGGTCAGAACAATCTGTCTATTCTGAATGCTATTCAGTCATTTCTTACACGTATTGTTTTTGACATTAGTTTATTGATGATACTATAACTGACTTAAATTACTGGTTTTTTGTAGGTTAAAACAAATGCTAACTGAACTTATGCGCCAACAAAATCAGCACCCGGATAAGCCTAGAAGCAAAGAAAGAGGCAGTAGTGCGTCACACCCCTCTTCTCCCAATTTATTTTGTCCTTTCAGCTTTCCAACACAGCCTGTAAATCTGTTTAACTTGCCTGGATTTACTAACTTTCCATCATTTGCACCAGGTAACTGAAAACCTGAAGGAAAAATAAGTAAATAGGAAGATTTTGAACTGGGTATGATATTACATGCTTATTAATCCAGCACTCAGGAAGTAGAGGCAGTAAGATTAGGAATTCAAGGCCAGTCTCAGATACATACTGAGATTGAGGCTAAGGTAGACTAAATGAGATGTGTCTCCAAAAAAGATAAGAAAGAGTTTGAGACTATAATTTATCTATTGTTCGGATTTTCTGTTTTTATTGTTTGAGGATTTCTTATAATGTATTTTGAGAAAATTACCCTCCCTGTGAACTCTTCCTATACTCCCAACTTCATGTACTTTTTTTTTTTTTAAACCCACTTAGTTTATTTAGTATGAGCATGGATGGAGTTTGAGTATGAGCAGTATTTTCTTTCTCCTTTATCAGCCATCAGTTGGCAGCAGCTTTTCAAGTAGGGATAGGACCTTGTGACCCCTTGCTCATCTATATTATGTGAGTGTTTTAAAATATATAGTTCTTTCATTCTAGTACGGTCATATTCACTGCCCAGTCATCCTCCCTATGTCCAGATCCACCCTCCACCCTCTCCCAACTTAATATACTTTTTTTTTAATGACCAAGTCCAGTTTAGCTGCTCATAACTCCTGAGACTGGTGCCATCCATTTGTGCCCTTAAAGAAAACTGACTCTTCGTCCTTCAAAGCTGCCAACTGTCAGTAGTTCCTCAATCAGAGGGAGCTCATAAACCGTTCTATCTCCTGTGCTAGAATGTTGACTGGCTTGGTCTTGTATTGACCTTCTGCAGACAGCCCTAGTTGCTGTGAGTTCACGAATGCCACAGTAGTTCTCTTATGTCCAGAAGACACTGTGCACTCTGGTCCTCTCCAAACACTAACTCTAAAACTTTCTGACCCCAGTTCCTAGATATTCCCTGAGCTTTGTGGGGACAGCCTCCATAGATGTCTGATTTGTGGCTGAGCTCTTTATTGACACTTATTCTCTGTACATTGATCAGTCCTGAATGTTGCATGAATTTTTGGCATGTTTTGGAATTGCCCAGAAACATTTAAATTAAACTTACATTCTTCTATATTATTTTTATAATGAAAAGTTAAGAAAACATGATTGCTAACAAAACTCAGCTATTTATAAAGGAGAGAGATACTGGCCTTTAAGTAGTAAATAAGCATTAGTTTATTGAATTGACAGTTTGTTTTGATAGATTTGGACAAGATATTGAATCAGTTAAATCTCTTAAAAATAAATTTTAATTTCATTTAAGGCTAAGGTACTCCTTCATTCTTTTCTTCCTTGTGTCTTTATTAGGAATGAATTTCAGCCCTTTATTTCCTTCTAATTTTGGAGATTTTTCTCAGAATGTTTCTACACCTACTGAACAGCAGCAGCCATTAGTTCAAAATCCTACAGGGAAAACAGAGTATATGGCTTTTCCAAAACCCTTTGAAAGCAGTTCTTCTCTTGGAGCGGAAAAGCAAAGGTACTTGGTTGTATCAAAGTTGAATCCTTTTACCATTCACTTAAATTTTTTTAAAATTACATTTAGTTTGTGTGTGTGTATGCATATGGAGGTCAAAGAATCATTTGATGTAGTAGATTATCTCTACCCATATGGGTCCTGGGAATCAAACTCAGTGATCAGGCTTGGTACCATTTACGTGTTGACCTATATTGGTGGCCCACGATTCACTTTGTGAGACAACACAGGAAGAATTTTTGTGATTGTGCAGCTTGACATAATATTGGTTATATAAAATTTATACATCATGTAGATATTCCTCAATCTTAAGAACTTAACAGCCACCAGAGTTTTAGTCCAGGATATCTTACAATATTCATATAACATCAGCAGAAATGTATGATGTAATCGTGATTTGATGTTTGTCTTTAGATCTAAACAGTTCAGTGTTTACCAACTTAGTACTGGAAACTGTAGTAACTATGAGGGAATAGGTCTTTGATTCATAGCCTCTAAATACCATTCAAATATTATTATACTGAGAATTACTTGATTGTAAAAACAACTTTTAGCCAGGCCTGGTGACACATGCCTTGAATACAAATTCTCATGAGGCAGAGGCAGGATCTATCTTTGGAGTTCAAGGTCAGCTTGGTCTATATACTGAGTTCCAGGCCAGCCAGGGCTACATACTAAAATTCTCTCAAACAAACTTTTATTTGAAGTTTTGATGGTACATGGTATCAGTCATAGTTAGGATTTTATATTCTCTCTTTCCCATATTTATTAATTTTTAATATGATAATCTCTGACAAAATAGTATGAAAGAAGAGGTCTGGCTCAGCTTTTTTTTTTTAAGGCATATCTACAGCTATAGAAATAACTAATTTATATAAATAAATAATCCAGAAAACTCAAAAAATTCCTATAACCTTTTTTAGTCTGTTTGTTCTGAGAGAAATAGGCAAATTGAGATACTGTAAGGGGCAATAGACAAGGCAGCTACAAGAATACTCTCTACAGCCCCATTGTTATTTACTTAAAAGCAAACTAACAACCCAGAAGAATGAAAAGGATAGATATCATTTGGACCCAGTATTCTGTTAGAAGTATCTCTGTGATTCTTTTTCCTACCTCAGACCTTTAGAGATATACAGTGCACGATATGCCTCCACCTAGTGATATGATTGGGCACTGTTGTTAAATCATGACTTTGGAGGGGCTCTTGATAACAGATAAATCTTAGAATTCCTGTTATAGTTACCTCTAGGAATTACTTCATCCCCTTGACATTGTTAGCTCTTCGTTAGTTAGCCTAACCTTTCTTTTTTGTACCAAATTCCATTTTGTTATGAAAGTGTTCAGAACTTTACACAGTGCTTAGTGCATAGTTGCCTTTTAGTAAAGGAGATTGAATCACAAGCAATGAATATCTATTCAAAGCTTCAAACTGGGCTTCCTGCTGTGATTTTCTGCTTTATTATCAGTGTTTTTATACCTTTGGTAGAAGCAACAACTGTGATTTTTTTTTTTTTTCATTATGAATGTCATGGTTAGAATGGAACTACATGTCTTGTTTTATCTACTTGAAATATTTCAAATTAGATATCTTTATCTTACTAAGTCAGAACTATTATAGATAACCTGGATTAAGTGACTAAAGATAGTAAAAGAGTTAAAGCCTAGTAGTCTTTAATAAAGGTCCCAAGGCTTACTGTAAAGTGTTAGCAAGGAAGTATTAAGTCATGCAGACGATACTCAGTCATAGTCATTCATCTAGACAGTCTTTATTAAACAAACAAATAAAAAACAGCCAAGCAAAGACAATCTATAAAGATAAGAGTGGCTATGTTTTCATAATATTTTATTTATAGGAATTTAAGTGTGAATTTTGCTGGGCATATTGGCATAATACCTTTAACCTCAGCATTCAGGAAGAGGCAGGTGGATCTCTGAGTTTGAGGCCAGCCTGGTTTACAAACCCAGGATAGCCGGGGTTGTTACATAGAGAAACCCTGTCCTGAAAAAACAAAACCAAAATAACAAAAATCCATGAATTTCATGTATAGCATTCCCATGTGTAATAATTTTCTGGTTAAAAACAACTTTTAAGAATAGAAACAAATACAACTTCTAGTTCATAGGTCATATAGAATAAATTGCAGCTGAATTTGTCCTTTAAATTGGAGATTTCTGACTCTTGTTTTGAGTTAAAATTTTTAAGTCATTATCTCCCAAAAATATTCTTTGTAAAACACTTGCTGGGCTCTATGATAAAAAGTTGTATGTTTTTGTGAAAATGTTTTCCTAGCGTGTTGAACCGAAATTTATTCCATCTATGGAGATTGCAATGAATATAAATAAATCAAAATTGTGACATGTAAAACTTTTTCTTATTGGTAAGGAATCAGAAACAGCCTGAAGAGGAAGTTGAAAACACTAAGACACCATGGTTATATGATCAAGAAGGAGGAGTAGAAAAACCATTTTTCAAGACTGGATTTGCAGTGTCTGTAGAGAAAGCTGCAAATAGTAACCGCAAAAATCCACCAGATACAAGCAGGAGAAGGCGTCAGTTTGATGAAGAATCACTGGAAAGCTTTAGCAGTATGCCTGATCCCATAGATCCAACAACAGTAACTAAAACATTTAAAACAAGAAAAGCATCTGCACAGGCCAGCCTGGCTTCTAAAGACAAAACTCCCAAATCAAAGAGTAAGAAGAGGAATTCTACTCAGCTGAAAAGTAGAGTTAAAAATGTTGGTAAGTTTTGAAATTTGTTGAACATGTATAGTATAAATATAAATCTTGGTCTTCTTACTTTGATATACTGGCACTTTTGTACAGCTAGATGTACAAGCATTGTTGAAACCTACTTCAGTCATTTTTAGTTATCTTTATAGTTTTTAGATTCTTAAGTATCATTTAATGTAGCTATCTTAAAACATTGCTCTTAGTCTTTGTGCTTTTTAAACTTCCTTTTGTTTCATGTGTATGTGTATATATGTGTGTGTGTGTGTGTGTGTATGTGTGCATATATATGTAAATATATATACTCAAATATATCTACCAGTACATTCCCCTCCCAATGGCATGTCCTTTTTTCTTTTTCTTTCATCCTTCCTTTCTTCATTCTTTCTTTTCTTCTTTTTTTTCATAACCCACTAAATCCAGTTAGTGAAGTTCCTGTGTGTATGGGTGTGGGGCCATCCACTGGATCATAAGGAATGCTACTAGTGGGAACTCTTCAGAAAAGAATGATTCTCTCCCAGCAGATACCAACTGCCAAACTCAGCTCAACAGTTCTTCAAATTATATGTTACTGAAAAATTGCTCAGATGCCCAAATGTTACTAATTTTTGTCTTTCAGTGTTATACCAGTGCATTGCATTGAATTTTAATTTGACTTCTCTTTGATTTCTTGATGATTCATTTAATGGGCTTCTAATTCATAATACATTGTTGTTTTTTTTTATTACCATAAATGAAACCACTTTAAAAGCAGATTTACTTATATATAGATAAACTAGTGTTTCATTGAATTTTATTGAGTATTATATTTTAAAGTTCTCTTGATAGCATTCCTGTGTATACCTGCTTTTAAAATACAGGTTCTTCTATAATTTTCTTAAGACTTTGCTGAAGTACTAGATTTAAAGCAGTTTTATTAGTTAAACTCTAAATAAATTTGGTTTAAATTTGGTAAAACCATACAACTATTCAAGTAGAAAATGGTTCATTTTTGAGACAGGCCCTATGAATAATCACATAATTTTTGACTTCCTGGTGCTTTGTGCCTACAAATACATAACTGAAGAAATGTGAGGAATTTTTATTGTAACACTCTAAACATTCTTTTGTGTAGCTGGATAATTTGATGTGCCGTGGGTAGTACTCCTTAAACTTTTTAAATTAAGTTTCATATGGGGCTCCCTGGGAATACCATTCTAAGTATAGATGCTGATTCATCAGGATACTGAGGAAGGAGGATCAGAGTTCAAGGTCAGATTGGGCTACCTACCGAGACCCTTTTTATTACACAAACCAAAAAATGATCCTGGTTTAGTAGGTTTGGAAAAAAATCCTTATTATTATGAAATACCTTATTTTTTTAAATTACAATTTTTCTTTATTTCTGAGAATTTCATGTTCTATTCAGTGAAATACTATGCCCAACCCCATGTCCCTCTAGCTGCCCATTTATTCCCCATCATATTTCTTCTTTTATTTTATGAAAAAAATATTTTTTTTAATGTACAGAGTTGAGTGATCTCTTTCATTGGTAAATGGTCTTGAGTAATCCACTCAAGGTCATTTAGTCCAACTTTGTGAAGTCCTTTGTACACTGATGGAGAAACACTACCCAAAACTTGTTGAATTCACGTTTCTGGATCAAACTGTAATGGTGTGAGTAGGCTTAGAAAAGCAAGAAACCTTCCCAAACTGATATGAATGACCTGAACTTGTGTGAACTGCTGATGACCTAGCTTCAGATGGCCAATGAGAGAAAAGACTGTCTTTTTTGATAACTCACTTATGTACATGGGTGTGGGGGTCATCCACTGGAGCATAGGAATGTTGCCAGGGTAGCCTAGGACATGTTGCCAGTGGAAACATCCTTAAAAGAGACTGATTCTCTCTCTCCCGGGAAAAGCTCCCCATTTATCTATGTCAGAAGTTTGGCTAGATTGATCTTGTGCAGGTAACCATGGCGGCAGTGAGTTTATGAGTTGAGTGATGGTTCACATCTAGAGACAGAATTTCTCTGCACTTTGCTCCATCCTCTGGCTCTTACATTCTTGCTACTGTCTGTTCTGAGATATACCTGAACCTTGGGGCTTGGTGGAGTACTGTTAATAAAGAGATCGTTAGGACTGAGCACTCAATTTCTTCTCAGCATTTTGGCTAATTTTACATCTTTGCATTGATTGCTGTCCACTGAAAAAAGAAGCCTTTCTGACCAAAAAATAATAGTAGCAGGTTCAGTCCTAGGGCCTAAGACCTCCCTAGCCTTGGGATGAAATTTCTTCCTCTGGAGCAGGGCTCAAATCTCATCAGTATTGTATGAGAGGGCACATTTGCCAGAAGGTCTATATTGTGGAATGCAGAATCCATCACTGGGTAAGATCACCGATGCCTTTTTTCTCTCAGCAGCCTTCGTAGCTCCATCTGGCATTATGAAAGCTAGCCAATAGAAAGGAAGTTTCCCCTGTTGGTTTGAGATTGATATCTTTATATACTATAGCCATGGAGTTATGGTGGGTGTCTTAGGTTTCTTTTTCTGTGATAAAATGTCATGACCAATAGCAACTTAGGGAGAGAAGGTTTTATTTCATCTTACAGTTGCAATCCATCATGAAGGAAAGTTAGGGCATGACTTTTATCAGAAACTAAAGCAGAGGCCATGGAGAAGTTGCTGCTTACCAGCTTGTTCTTCATGGCTTGCTCAGCCTGCTTCCTTATAGCACCCAGAACTACTGAGCTAGGAATGGCCCCTCCCACAATGGCCTGATCCCTTCTATATCATTTTTGTTTGTTTGTTTGTTTGTTTGTTTTGAGACAGGGTTTCTCTGTGTAGCCCTGGCTGTCCTGGAACTCATTCTGTAGACCAGGCTGGCCTCGAACTCAGAAATCCACCTGCCTCTGCCTCCCAAGTGCTGGGATTAAAGGCGTGCGTCACCACCGCCGGGCGCTATATCAATTACTAATCAAGAAAATGCCCAAGAGACTTGCCAATAGGCCAATTGAGAGTCCTTCTTCACAGATGATATTACCTTGTATCAAATTGATATAAAACTAACCATCACTGTGGGTAACCAAAGGTAATAACAGTAGCGTGGTGTTTTATATACCTTTGAAATTTCCCTGACCAATGACTTGTAGGGCGGTGTCTCATGACTTGCATTGCAATTTTTATATAATAATTCATGTCCTCCAAGAGCTACATTGTCCACCATGCAAACATCTCTATTTGATTTTGGAAGTAGCTTACTAACGTGGTTTCTTTCATTTTGGCTAATTCACCCTCTATATCCCTCTCCCTCTATTCTTGCTTAGTCCTTTATACTCCCTCCTTTCCCATATACTCCTCTCTTATTTCATAGCACATGTATTCTACTATCCAATTACATTTCGTAAATGATCTTGAGATAGTAGGCTTCTGTAGGGCTTTCCATACCACCTTCCTTTGGATTAGCCTTTCTCACAACCCCTTGGTTTTACCTATACTTTTGCCCCCCATACCTTAAGCCTTTCTAGTCTCAGCACCAGCCCTTCCCAGCCCCAACTGAAAAGTTCCCCCTTCTTGCTCCTTATGCTCCAAGTTAAACACATGACACAAATGATTTGAAGCTAGAATTTACATATAAGAGAGAACATGTGGTATTTATTTTTCTCTACCAGAGTTACTGCTAGTTGTTTTTCTAATTTCCTATATTTAACCTATAATCATGATTTCATTTTTCTTTACTGCTAAGTAATATTACAGTATGTTTGCATACTACAGTTTTCTCATCCATTTATGTATTGATGACTACTACACAGGTTGAATCCACTTTGTAGCTGTTGTGGCAAGAATGGCAATAGCATTGAAATGCAGGTGTCTCTGTAATGGAATATATATAGTCTGTTGAGTATATGCCTAAGAGTCATATTGAATCATAAGGCTTTTTTTTTTTTTAGCTTTTTTGAGAAACCTCTTAAATTATTCCCAGTGTAACTGTACTAGTTGATGTGTCCACCAACAGTATAGAAGAATTTCCCCTGAACAGCATCTACAACCAATGTTTGTTATCATTTGTATTACTGATTATGGCCATTCTGTTAATGACATATAGACGGTTAGCTTTTTTTTCTTTACTTTGGGGCAAAGATTGTTATTATATCAGTCCAAATAATTCACATTTGTTCAGATGACATTCACTTGCTATTGTTAAGGTCCTATTTCACAGTAGGATCAAACTATAGCACTAAATATGATTAATATATAGCAGAATAAAATTGGTCTTCTAAATTCCTGCTATGTAGAATGTAAACCATTGATAAGAACATCTGTAAGCTTATTAGAACTATACAAACTTTTATAGCCCACCTGAATCAGTGCACACTGTACCAAGAGCAACACTGAAACCAAAGGAACTAGGAGACACTTGCATCTTTAGCTGTAGTCTACTGCTGTCCTGCAGAAGTGAGACAGAAGGACAAAGTTCTCATGTTTAGTTAGGAGCCGAGAGGGAGTAAGCTTTTTTTTTTTTTCTTTTCTTTCTTTTTTTTTTTTTTTTGGACAGCCTCTCAGAGAGAGAAGAGAGTAAGTGAGAAGTGGCCACATAGCAACTCTTGTGTTCTAGGAAGCTGATAAACAGTGGTTCAGCTCTTCCCTCAGTGGCTGTTTGGAATCATGCAGGGCCTTTAGAATGCCATGGCTAATGTAGTTTTCATCAGTGAAGGCATAAGTAGAAGTATTATTTCTTGTAGCTAATTCAGTCATAAGGAATGAATCAGAACCAAACATACGGGAGAGTTGTGGACAGAAATTAGAGATTAGAGCCTCATGCTTTCACAGTACTGTCTCACTTAGCCAGTGATAATATGAAGCATTAATCCTTATTAGTTCTGCTGTTCTCCTTGGAAAAATCTTGGCCTGGTAGCTCACATCTATAATTAAGTTATTTGAGAGACTGAGTCTGGATAGTTGCAAGTTTGAGGCTAACTTAGGCACATAGCAAGACACTATCAATAACAAAACAAGAACCAAAACAACCCAA